CAGTTGACTTTATTCTTTAAGTGGAAAAAATATTTGTTGCAAGTGTCACTCTAGTTATGGTGGAAACCTTTACCAAAGGTTAGACCTGAGACTCACTAGTCTAGTCTGGAATTTCATTCCATACCTGACTCCTCTCTACTGAGGATTTTCCAGCTCTCACAGGCTTTGCTCTAGGTAGGGTGATCCTCACGGTCCCAGAGACGTGCAGGGTCCTGATCCTTAGTGGCTCTGAAGATTAGGACCATGCCTTTGAAGGAGCAGGGCAAGTGGACAGGGATCCGAGGGAGGGCGGAGGCCTGATGTGCTCTCGTGGCTAGCGGTTCATTGGATATCAGGGACTATAGCGGGGTCCGCAAGAGCGGGAATCAACGTCCCAGCGCGGGCGAGCACCCACCTCCTCCTGCCTCCTGCGCAGCCCCTCGCGCTTCATGCGCCGCCGCTCCAGCTCCCGCACGATGTCCTCGCACTCGCCCAGGAGCAGGCTCTCCTCCGGGCTCCGCTCCCCCGCCGGCTTCCTCAGGACCCGGGACACCTGGCACCCGGAGAGTACAGAACGGGTCACCCGCCGCGCCCGCCCGAGCGGGCCCCCGGCGGGGTAGGACCGCGCGGCGGCGGCGGCGGCGCCGGCGAGGGACCCGGGCTAACGGGAGGGGGCGGTACCTGTCTGCGCCGGTCCCGCTGCTCCTCCTGCTGCAGGATCTCGGCTCGAGCTGCCGCTTTCCGCTCCGCCCGGCTCAGGCTCCCGCCAGCCGCCATGACAGCCGTGGGACGCCGGCCGCTTCCGGGTACGGAGCCAGAGCTTGTGCTTCCGGCGACAGAGAGCCGCGCGGCAGGATGAGGGTCACTTCCGGGCCAGAGCGCCTATTTCCGGGTAAAGAGCGGGCCCGCGCGCGACGAGCTGCCGGCCTGGCACGTGCCTTTGCGTCACCCGCCAGCAAAGCCCAGGGGGCGGAGCGATGGGCTAACGGCGCCTGCGCAGTGACTGCGCTCGGGGTCAGCGCCGCCCGCGGAGCGAGCGAGGTTCCCCCCCCGCCTGAGGCCCCGGCCCCACTGCCCGCCCCCCAGCCCAGCGCCAGACCCCCCCCCCCGGCTCCTGGCGCCCCCCAGCCCAGCGCCAGACCCGCCCCCTTCTCCCCCGGTACTGCCCCCCCAGCCCAGCGCCTGCGCCCCCCCAGTACTGGCCCCCCATGCCCCCAGCACCACCCCCACTGCTCCCCCAGCGCCTGTGCCCCCCCAGTACTGGCCCCCCAGCGCCTGCGCCCCCCCAGTACTGGCCCCCCATGCCCCCAGCACCACCCCCTCTGCGCCCCCAGCGCCTGCGCCCCCCCAGTACTGGCCCCCCAGCGCCTGCGCCCCCCCAGTACTGGCCCCCCATGCCCCCAGCACCACCCCCTCTGCGCCCCCAGCGCCTGCGCCCCCCCAGTACTGGCCCCCCATGCCCCCAGCACCACCCCCTCTGCGCCCCCAGCCCAGCGCCTGCGCCCCCCCAGTACTGGCCCCCCAGCGCCTGCGCCCCCCCAGTACTGGCCCCCCATGCCCCCAGCACCACCCCCTCTGCGCCCCCAGCCCAGCGCCTGTGCCCCCCAGTACTGGCCCCCCAGCGCCTGCGCCCCCAGTACTGGCCCCCCATGCCCCCAGCACCACCCCCTCTGCGCCCCCAGCGCCTGCGCCCCCCAGTACTGGCCCCCCAGCGCCTGCGCCCCCCAGTACTGGCCCCCATGCCCCCAGCACCACCCCCTCTGCGCCCCCAGCCCAGCGCCTAATCTCCCCACCCACTGCTCCCCCAGCGCCTGCGCCCCCAGTACTGGCCCCCCATGCCCCCAGCACCACCCCCTCTGTGCCCCCAGCGCCTGCGCCCCCCAGTACTGGCCCCCCAGCGCCTGCGCCCCCCAGTACTGGCCCCCCATGCCCCCAGCCCCCCCCCCTCTGCGCCCCCAGCACAGTGGTTTGAGCACTGGCCTGCTAACCCCAGGACTGTGAGTTCAATCCTTGAGGGGGCCATTTGGGATCTGGGGCAAAAATTGGGGATTGGTCCTGTTTTGAGCAGGGGGCTGGACTAGTTGACCTGAGATCCCTTCCACCCTGTTACTCTGTGATTCTGCCCCCAGCCCAGCACTGAACCCCCTGCTCCCCCACTCCTGCTTCAGAAGAGCTATGTGGGAACTTGTAACTGGTGGCAATACTATTCGTAGCCCGTGGGAGAGAAAGCAAAGCACAGGCTCCTAAGGGTATCCCGCTGAGGCAGAGCAATGCAACCTTAAAGCCCTAGGCAGGAGGGAAAGAGATTCGGGTTCTCCACCCAAGAGAGGTAATGGCTGAGGGTATGTCTACACTACGGAATAAGGTCGAATTTATAGAAGTCGGTTTTTTAGAAATCGGTTTTATATATTCGAGTGTGTGTGTCCCCACAGAAAATGCTCTAAGTGCGTTAAGTGCATTAACTCGGCGGAGCGCTTCCACAGTACCGAGGCTAGAGTTGACTTCCGGAGCGTTGCACTGTGGGTGGCTATCCCACAGTTCCCGCAGTCTCCGCTGCCCATTGGAATTCTGGGTTGAGATCCCAATGCCTGATGGGGCTAAAACATTGTTGCGGGTGGTTCTGGGTACATATCATCAGGCCCCCGTTCCCTCCCTCTCTTCCTCCGTGAAAGCAAGGGCAGACAATCGTTTCCTGCCTTTTTTCCTGAGTTACCTGTGCAGACACCATACCACAGCAAGCATGGAGCCCGCTCAGGTAACCATCACCGTATGTCTCCTGGGTGCTGGCAGACACGGTACGGCATTGCTACACAGTAGCAGCAACCCATTGCCTTCTGGCAGCAGGCGGTGCAATATGACCGGTAGCCGTCATCGTCGTGTCCGAGGTGCTCCTGGCCACGTCGGCTGGGAGCGCCTGGGCAGACATGGGCGTAGGGACTAAATTTGGAGTGACTTGACCAGGTCATTCTCTTTAGTCCTGCAGTCAGTCCTATTGAACCGTCTTATAGTGAGCAGGCAGGCGATACGGATTGCTAGCAGTCCTATTGCACCATCTTCTGCTGAGCAGCCATGAGATGTGGATGGCATGCAGTCCTTCTGCACCGTCTGCTACCAGCCAAAGATGTAAAAGATAGATGGAGTGGATCAAAACAAGAAATAGACCAGATCTGTTTTGTACTCATTTGCCTCCTCCCCCGTCTAGGGGACTCATTCCTCTAGGTCACACTGCAGTCACTCACAGGGAAGGTGCAGCAAGGTAAATCTAGCCATGTATCAATCAGAGGCCAGACTAACCTCCTTGTTCCAATAAGAACAATAACTTAGGTGCACCATTTCTTATTGGAACCCTCCGTGAACTCCTGCCTGAAATACTCCTTGATGTAAAGCCACCCCCTTTGTTGATTTTAGCTCCCTGAAGCCAACCCTGTAAGCCGTGTCGTCAGTCGCCCCTCCCTCCGTCCGAGCAACGGCAGATAATCATTCCGCGCCTTTTTTCTGTGCGGACGCCATACCAAGGCAAGCATGGAGGCCGCTCTGCTCACTTTGGCAATTAGGAGCACATTAAATACCACACGCCTTATCCAGCAGTATATGCAGCACCAGAACCTGGCAAAGCGATACCGGGCGAGGAGGCGACATCAGCGCGGTCACGTGAGTGATCAGGACATGGACACAGATTTCTCTCAAAGCATGGGCCCTGCCAATGCATGCATCATGGTGCTAATGGAGCAGGTTCATGCTGTGGAACGCCGATTCTGGGCTCGAGAAACAAGCACAGACTGGTGGGACCGCATAGTGTTGCGGGTCTGGGACGATTCCCAGTGGCTGCGAAACTTTCGCATGCATAAGGGCACTTTCATGGAACTTTGTGACTTGCTTTCCCCTGCCCTGAAGCGCATGAATACCAAGATGAGAGCAGCCCTCACAGTTGAGAAGCGAGTAGCGATAGCCCTGTGACAGCTTGCAATGCCAGACAGCTACCGGTCAGTTGGGAATCAATTTGGAGTGGGCAAATCTACTGTGGGGGCTGCTGTGATGCAAGTAGCCCACGCAATCAAAGATCTGCTGATATCAAGGGTAGTGACCCTGGGAAATGTGCAGGTCATAGTGGATGGCTTTGCTGCAATGGGATTCCCTAACTGTGATGGGGCCATAGATGGAACCCATCTCTATCTTGGCACCGGAGCACCAAGCCGGCGAGTACATAAATCGCAAGGGGTACTTTTCAATAGTGCTGAAAGCTCTGGTAGATCACAAGGGACGTTTCACCAACATCAACGTGGGATGGCAGGGAAAGGTACATGACGCGTGCATCTTCAGGAACTCTGGTCTGTTTCAAAAGCTGCAGGAAGGGACTTTATTCCCAGACCAGAAAATAATTGTTGGGGACGTTGAAATGCCTATATGTATCCTTGGGGACCCAGCCTACCCCTTAATGCCATGGCTCATGAAGCCGTACACAGGCAGCCTGGACAGTAGTCAGGAGCTGTTCAACTCCAGGCTGAGCAAGTGCAGAATGGTGGTAGAATGTGCATTTGGATGTTTAAAGGTGCGCTGGCGCAGTTTACTGACTCGCTTAGACCTCAGCGAATCCAATATTCCCACTGTTATTACTGCTTGCTGTGTGCTCCACAATACCTGTGAGAGTAAGGGGGAGATATTTATGGCAGGGTGGGAGGTTAAGGCAAATCGCCTGGCTGCTGGTTACGCGCAGCCAGACACCAGGGCGGTTAGAAGAGCACAGGAGGGCGCGGTACGCATCAGAGAAGCTTTGAAAACCAGTTTCATGACTGGCCAGGCTACGGTGTGAAAGTTCCGTTTGTTTCTCCTTGATGAAACCCCCCGCCCCTTGGTTCACTCTACTTCCCTGTAAGCTAACTACCCTCCCCTCCTCCCTTCGATCACTGCTTGCAGAGGTAATAAAGTCATTGTTGCTTCACATTCATGCATTCATCACACAAATAGGGGGATGACTACCAAGGTAGCCCAGGAGGCGTGGAGGAGGAGGGAAGGAAAATGCCACACAGCACTTTAAAAATTTACAACTTTAAAATTTATTGAATGCCAGCCTTCTTTTTTTTGGGCAATCCTCTGTGGCGGAGTGGCTGGTTGGCCAGTGGCCCCCCTACCGCGTTCTTGGGCGTCTGGGTGTGGAGGCTATGGAACTTGGGGAGGAGGGCAGTGTGCGCTCCAGCTGCCTTTGCTGCAGCTCAACCAAACACTGGAGCATAATGGTTTGGTCCTCCAGCAGCCTCAGCATTGAATCCTGCCTCCTCTCATCATGCTGCCGCCACATTTGAGCTTCAGCCCTGTCTTCAGCCCGCCACCTCTCCTCCCGGTCATTTTGTGCTTTCCTGCACTCTGACATTATTTGCCTCCACGCATTCGTCTGTGCTCTGTCAGTGCGGCAGGACAGCATGAGCTCAGAGAACATTTCATCTCGAGTGCATTTTTTTCGCATTCTAATCTTCACTAGCCTCTGGGAAGGAGAAGATCTTGTGATCATTGAAACACATGCAGCTGGTGGAGAAAAAAAAGGGACAGCGGTATTTAAAAAGACATTTTATAAAACAGTGGGTACACTCTTTCAGGGTAAACCTTGCTGTTAACATTACATACATAGCACATGTGCTTTCGATACAAGGTCGCATTTTGCCTCCCCCCACCGCGTGGCTACCCCCTCAACCCTCCCCACTCCCTGTGGCTAACAGCGGGGAACATTTCTGTTTAGCCTCAGGCAAAAAGCCCAGCAGGAATGGGCTCCTCCGAGTGTCCCCTGAAGAAAAGCACTATTTCAGCCAGGTGACCATGAATGATATCTCACTCTCCTGAGGATAACACAGAGAGAAAGAACGGATGTTGTTTGAACGCCAGCAAACATACACTGCAATGCTTTGTTGTACAATGATTCCCGAGTACGTGTTACTGGCCTGGAGTGGTAAAGTGTCCTACCATGGAGGATGCAATAAGGCTGCCCTCCCCAGAAACCTTTTGCAAAGGCTTTGGGAGTACATCCAGGAGAGCCGCGAATGCCAGGGCAAAGTAATCCTTTCACATGCTTGCTTTTAAACCATGTATAGTATTTTAAAAGGTACACTCACCAGAGGTCCCTTCTCCGCCTGCTGGGTCCAGGAGGCAGCCTTGGGTGGGTTCGGGGGCTACTGGCTCCAGGGTGAGAAACAGTTCCTGGCTGTCAGGAAAAGCGGTTTCTCCGCTTGCTTGCTGTGAGCTATCATCATCATCATCTTCTTCGTCCCCAAAATCTGCTTCTGTGTTGCCTCCATCTCCATTGAAAGAGTCAAACAACATGGCTGGGGTAGTGGTGGCTGAACCCCCTAAAATGGCATGTAGCTCATCATAGAAGTGGCATGTTTGGGGCTCTGACACGGAGCGGCCGTTCGCCTCTCTGGTTTTCTGTTAGGCTTGCCTCAGCTCCTTAAGTTTCACGCGGCACTGCTTCGGGTCCCTGTTATGGCCTCTGTCCTTCATGCCCTGGGAGATTTTGACAAAGGTTTTGGCATTTCGAAAACTGGAATGGAGTTCTGATAGCACGGATTCCTCTCCCCATACAGCGATCAGATCCCGTACCTCCCGTTCGGTCCATGCTGGAGCTCTTTTGCGATCCTGGGACTCCATCATGGTCACCTGTGCTGATGAGCTCTGCATGGTCACCTGCAGCTTGCCACGCTGGCCAAACAGGAAATGAGCTTCAAAAGTTTGCGGTTCTTTTCCTGTCTACCTGGCCAGTGCATCTGAGTTGAGAGTGCTGTCCAGAGCGGTCACAATGGAGCACTCTGGGATAGCTCCCGGAGGCCAATACCGTCGAATTGTGTCCACAGTACCCCAAATTCAAGCTGGCAAGGCCAATTTAAGCGCTAATCCACTTGTCAGGGGTGGAGTAAGGAAATCGATTTTAAGAGCCCTTTAAGTTGAAATAAAGGGCTTCATCGTGTGGATGGGTGCAGGTTTACATCGATTTAACGCTGCTAAATTCGACCTGAAGTCCTAGTGTAGACCAGGGCTGAGAGTCAAAAACCTTAATTGGGTTACCTGAAGGGATGGCAGTAGGGGAATACACGTGCAATTAACTAAAACTGGGGCAGTCTGAACTAAGCAAATGTTTGAAAAATTTCTCATTTGTCAACTCTGGTTCAGCTCCTCCCCTTCAAGGATGCTGGGAGCCTCCCACATCACCTAATTCCTCTCTGAGCAAGTCTGATGGACAACATTAGCAGCCCCTGGCTCATCCACAGTGGGACTGACAAACCTGAGTGGAGGCAACCCCTCCTTAGCCATAGGAAAGTTTTCAGGACTGCCCTTGTAGCTAAAGCTAGGGGCGGTGCTGGAAAGGCTCCCAGGTCAGTGTTTACAGAGATATATAACAATCAGTTCAGCAAAAAGAAAAGGAGGAGTACTTGTGGCACCTTAGAGACTAATATTTATTTGAGCATAAGCTTTCGTGAGTTACAGCTCACTTCATCGGACGCATCTGATGCATCGGTGCATCCGATGAAGTGAGCTGTAGCTCACGAAAGCTTATGCTCAAATAAATTGGTTAGTCTCAAAGGTGCCACACATACTCCTTTTCTTTTTGCGAATACAGACTAACACGGCTGCTGCTCTGAAACCTGTCAGTTCAGCCTGATTGTGTCTTGCACATTTCACTGTGGGTTGTTCATCTACTGCAAAAGGCAAAAGCCAGGTGCACTATTTACATTTTCCTGCCAAGATAGTGACCCTGGCAGGGGTAAGACACCCTACGAGCAAGGAATGCTTTGTACCAGCATGGCAAACAAAAAAGTAAGACGTTTATACCTCCCCCCCCACGCGGCAGAGAGAGAGAGCGCCTCCAACTCTCACCTTTGAAATATCCTGCTGGTTATTACTGCACAGGAGGCTGTAGCCCTGTGCCAGTACCTAGAACCTCACTAACGCAGTATTGGGGTCCCTCATTCCTGTGGACAGGAACCAATGCTTCAGCCTAGAACCATTCTAGGCTGGAAGAGATGCTTTGAAGTGGTGCAGGTCCCTACAGCTTTGGCAGAAGCCTGAATACAGCTTCAGTGGTGTTCAATGGGGTTCAATGGTGGTTGTTTCAGGGAGTATAAGAATCTGCAGCCTCACGAAGGCACCTTTCAGTTAAGAGGCTACCCCAAACACCCCCACACTGTGGCTCCTGTAGGAGATAGAAGTGTGTGTATAGGTTGGAGGAGGCTAGGTCGTAAAGCGACACACTGTTCCACTCCAGCCGCATTATCTCAACCCTCCAGCAGTGGCCTAGTGAGAGCTTAAGTCTCCCATGTAAGAGGTCACCATTAGCTAGCATCAGAAGGTCTAGATGGCAGGAACTAGGCCTCAGCTGTAGAGAGGAGGGAACAGAAGTTGATAAAGTACAGGTAGGAACTGAAGAGAAACTGAGCCATTCTTTACAGGTGTCAAATCTGAGGAACTGTTCCAGATTGACAGGTTTCAGAGTAACAGCCGTGTTAGTCTGTATTCGCAAAAAGAAAAGGAGGACTTGTGGCACCTTGGACACTAACCAAGTTATTTGCGCATAAGCTTTCGTGAGCTACAGCTCACTTCATTGGATGCATACTGTGGGAAGTGTAGAAGATCTTTTTATACACACAAAGCATGAAAAAATACCTCCTCCCACCCCACTCTCCTGCTGGTAATAGTTTATCTAAAGTGATCACTCTCTTTACAATGTGTATGATGATCAAGGTGGGCCATTTCCAGCACAAATCCAGGGTTTAACAAGAACATCTGGGGGGGGGGGGTAGGAAAAAACAAGGGGAAATAGGCTTGAATAAAGACTGGGAGTGGCTAAGTCATTATGCAAGGTAACCTAAGTTAATTGTATCCAATTTGCAAATGAATTCCAATTCAACAGTTTCTCGCTGGAGTCTGGATTTGAAGTTTTTTTGTTGTAATATAGCAACTTTCATGTCTGTAATTGTGTGACCAGAGAGATTGAAGTGTTCTCCGACTGGTTTATGAATGTTATAATTCTTGACATCTGATTTGTGTCCATTTATTCTTTTACATAGAGACTGTCCAGTTTGACCAATGTACATGGCAGAGGGGCATTGCTGGCACATGATGGCATATATCACATTGGTAGATGTGCAGGTGAACGAGCCTCTGATAGTGTGGCTGATGTGATTAGGTCCTGTGATGGTGTCCCCTGAATAGATATGTGGGCACAATTGGCAACGGGCTTTCTTGCAAGGATAGGTTCCTGGGTTAGTGGTTCTGTTGTGTGGTATGTGGTTGCTGGTGAGTATTTGCTTCAGGCTGGGGGGCTGTCTGTAGGCAAGGACTGGCCTGTCTCCCAAGATTTGTGAGTGTTGGGTCATCCTTCAGGATAGGTTGTAGATCCTTAATAATGCGTTGGAGGGGTTTTAGTTGGGGGCTGAAGGTGACTGCTAGTGGCGTTCTGTTATTTTCTTTGTTAGGCCTGTCCTGTAGTAGGTGACTTCTGGGAACTCTTCTGGCTCTATCAATCTGTTTCCTCACTTCCGCAGGTGGGTATTGTAGTTGTAAGAATGCTTGACAGAGATCTTGTAGGTGTTTGTCTCTGTCTGAGGGGTTGGAGCAAATGCGGTTGTATCGCAGAGCTTGGCTGTAGATCAGTGCCGCTGATCTGAAGGTATACATTGTCCCCAAATGTAAAATAGTTAAGCCGTCAAGAACACTATTCCCGATAATGTCACTGCTAACCTGGTGGCTGAACTTTGTGACTTTGTCCTTACCCATAACTATTTTACATTTGGGGACAATGTATACCTTCAGATCAGCGGCACTGCTATGGGTACCTGCATGGCCCCACAGTATGCCAACATTTTTATGGCTGACTTAGAACAACGCTTCCTCAGGTCTCGTCCCCTAACGCCCCTACTCTACTTACGCTATATTGATGACATCATCATCATCTGGACCCATGGAAAAGAAGCCCTTGAGGAATTCCACCATGATTTCAACAATTTCCATCCCACCATCAACCTCAGCCTGGTCTAATCCACACAAGAGATCCACTTCCTGGACACTACAGTGCTAATAAAAGATGGTTACGTAAACACCACCCTATACCGGAAACCTACTGACCGCTATTCCTACCTACATGCCTCCAGCTTTCACCCAGACCACACCACACGATCCATTATCTGCAGCCAAGCTCTGCGATACAACCGCATTTGCTCCAACCCCTCAGACAGAGGCAAACACCTACAAGACCTCTATCAAGCATTCTTACAACTACAATACCCACCTGCGGAAGTGAGGAAACAGATTGATAGAGCCAGAAGAGTTCCCAGAAGTCACCTACTACAGGACAGGCCTAACAAAGAAAATAACAGAACGCCGCTTGCCGTCACCTTCAGCCCCCAACTAAAACCCCTCCAATGCATTATTAAGGATCTACAACCTATCCTGAAGGATGACCCAACACTCTCACAAATCTTGGGAGACAGGCCAGTCCTTGCCTACAGACAGCCCCCCAACCTGAAGCAAATACTCACCAGCAACCACATACCACACAACAGAACCACTAACCCAGGAACCTATCCTTGCAACAAAGCCCGTTGCCAACTGTGCCCACATATCTATTCAGGGGACACCATCACAGGGCCTAATCACATCAGCCACACTATCAGAGGCTCGTTCACCTGCACATCCACCAATGTGATATATGCCATCATGTGCCAGCAATGCCCCTCTGCCATGTACATTGGTCAAACTGGGCAGTCTCTACGTAAAAGAATAAATGGACACAAATCAGATGTCAATAATTATAACATTCATAAACCAGTCGGAGAACACTTCAATCTCTCTGGTCACGCAATCACAGACATGAAAGTTGCTATATTACAACAGAAAAACTTCAAATCCAGACTCCAGCGAGAAACTGTTGAATTGGAATTCATTTGCAAATTGGATACAATTAACTTAGGCTTGAATAGAGACTGGGAGTGGCTAAGTCATTATGCAAGGTAACCTATTTCCCCTTGTTTTTTCCTACACCCCCCCCAGACGTTCTTGTTAAACCCTGGATTTGTGCTGGAAATGGCCCACCTTGATCATCATACACATTGTAAGGAGAGTGATCACTTTAGATAAGCTATTACCAGCAGGAGAGTGGGGTGGGAGGAGGTATTTTTTTCATGCTTTGTGTGTATAAAAAGATCTTCTACACTTTCCACAGTATGCATCCAATGAAGTGAGCTGTAGCTCACGAAAGCTTATGCTCAAATAAGTTGGTTAGTCTCTAAGGTGCCACAAGTACTTCTTTTCTTTTTGTCCCAGGTTGAGGCACCAACAACAGAGGTTTGGAACACACTGAACAGTAATAAATCACCAGGACCAGATGGTATCACCCAAGAATTCTGAAGGAACTCAAATACAAAATTGCAGAACTACTTTGGTATGTAACCTATCGCTTAAACCAGATAACTGGAGGATAGCTGAAGTAATACCAATTTTTTAAAAAGCCTTCAGAAGCGATCCTGGCAATTACAGGCTGGTAAACCTAATGTCAGTACCAGTTAGATTGGCTGAAACTATAGTAAAGAGCAGAATGATCAGACACAGAGGAATATGATACAATTGGGAAGAGACAGTATAGTTTTTGTAAAGGGAAATCCTGCCTCAATAATCTATCACAATTCTTTCAGGAGGTCAACAAACCTATGAACAAGGGTGATCCAGTGGATATAGTGTATTTTGACTTTCAGAAACCCTTGACAAGGTCCCTCACCAAAGGCTCTTAAGCAAAGTAGGCAGTCGTGGGATAAGAGGGAAGGTCCTCTCAGGGATCAGTAACTGGTTAAAAGATAGGAAACAAAGGGTAGGAATAGTCAGTTTTCATAGTGGAGAGAGGTAGTTGTCCCCCCAAAATCTGCACTGGCACCAGTTCTGTTCACCGTAATCATAAATATGGAAAAAGGGTAAACAGTGAGGTGGCAAAGTTTGCAGAGGATACAAAATTCCACAGGATAGATAAGTCCAAAGCCATCCGAAGAGTTACAAAAGTGGTCTCGCTATACTGGGTGATTGGGCAACAAAATGGCAGATTAAATTAATTTTTGATAAATGCAAAATAATGCAAATTGGAAAACAATCACAATTATACATTCAAAATGGAGTCTAAATTAGAAAGATCTTGGAGTCATAGTAGATAGTTCTTTGAAAACATCTGCTCAATATGTAGTGGCAGTCAAAGAAAAGCCAACAGAATATTAGGAACCATAAGGAAGAGGATAGATGAAACAGAAAATATCATAATGCCACTCTATAAATACATGGTACACCCACACCTGAATACTGCATGCAGTTCTGGTCACCCCACCTCAAAAAAAGATACATTAGAATTGGAAAAAGTAGAGAGAATAGCAAAAAAAAGTTAGAGGTATGGAATGGTTTCCATGTGAGGAGAGATTAAAAACCTGGTA